TTTTACCACCGTTCGATTTTACTTGAACTTTAACTAAATTAAACTTAATTAATATTTCAATTCTAGTATGCAAATTATAAGTTACACTGCATAATATTAATAATAATTATAATAATATCTATGCAATATTTTGTTTAGTGTAATGTATATAAAACAAACATTTAATATAAAATGATTATTATTATTTTTAAAAACAAAAACAATAATAATAGTTGTTGTTTGGTTATATTAAATATACTGTTAAAAGTGCAAATGTTAATATAAAAACATTTAAAACTAAAAATATGACATTATTATGAAATATATAGATATCAAATAATGTTTTTTTTTTTTTTTACATTTTCACTTTAAACAGCACTTCCTTTTTCTTTGCTGTGACTGGCTGATTGACATGAGGAGGATGGCTGTTGTAATAGATAATGCCTGTCATCTAATAGAATTGAATAGGTCATAATAAACTCTTTATGTGGCCAAGTATCGGCCAGACTGATTAATCAAGAAGAACTTATCAAATACTACATGTAAGGTAGAGACCTGCACTCCCGTGGAAGTACCGCGGGACCCAACGCAACAGGGTGCGGCGCGGGACAATTCTTGATGGGCAAGTGTGGGTGCGGGCGGGAAGAGACTCGTGTGTGTGCGGGATGCGGGAGAATAAAATGATTCACGAGACTCCCGCAAAATAGAAATTATCTAAACATAAAGTGTCTAAAACATAGCAATTGTTCTTTATCTGTTGCACTAAAGCAAAAATAACAACTAATATTAACTTTAAAATTATTAACGTGCAAGCTAGACATAGCCTAGTTTCCATTTATAATGTAGCCAATCACAGATTTTGACTGTTGATTTCTGGAACGCAATGGCCAATCAGAGGTGATCAAGTTAGAATCTACTCACCGCTGTGCTGAAATTGCATGTTCACGAATCCTCTCATTTTAGACACTCTGAAAGATTCATTGTGCATATATTTAGTATATTTAGTGTTATAACAGAGCTTTATGAGATCGCGATTAACTGAGATGTCAGCTTTTTGTGATAATAAAGGAAGTGTGCTGCTTGCATTCTGCCATGCCAAACCATGCACGCAGCAGCCCATGCTTGCTTTCCATAAAAAATAACAGTGGTTGTGAATGTTGATGCTTAGTCTAAATAACAAATATTTTATCGGTAGTAGTTTGTTATGTTTATGCTGGGATGTTGTGGAGCTTAGGAGATGTTACAGAACCATTTCATGTAAATTTCTTCAATGTACTTAAAACAATCTATATAGATTACTTTTATGCGGGCTTTTGCGGGCGGGAGCGGGACCAGATAAGATATATTTTTGCGGGAGCGGGCGGGCGCGGGACAGAATCTTGCGGGAACGGGCGGGAACGGGACTGAAAAATCCGTCCTGCGCAGGTCTCTAATGTAAGGCTCAAAAGTAGGACTGCACGATTAATCGAATATGACTGTCATGCGCATCTTGTCAGTAAAGCCGGTTCTGGGATTAGTAGTAAATCTCCATCACGTGCTTTCAGATGGAGCAGCATTTACTACACAGAGTCGCAGTTCTCTGACAAGCTATGCAAAATAGCATTCATATTCTCAGACGATTCTGCGATTATGAAAGCTGTTTGCGTAGCTTGTCAGTGAACTACGGCTCTGTGTAGTAAATGCTGTTCCATCTGAAAGCACATGAAAATACCAAATTTAATAACATGTTTTAATTCCAAACTCACTTCATAATGTCAGACTAGTGTTTGAAATAAATCCTTCTGTGAGATGATGTGGTTTCTTACACAGAAGAAGGCACGCAACATATTTCATAGTATTTTAAGCAGTGATAAAGGCTTGATTAGCATTGCATTATATACTTTATTATAATAAACATTATAATAAGATGAACTCGGATAAACCATATATTGTTGTAGTCGTGTGTTTATTAGTAACGTTGAATCAATGAAAGCAGTTAAATCTTCTATTTATTCAGCAACCACTAAAGGCATTTCCTGGGTTTCTTCTGCGAGGCGTATTTGGAGTTTCAGCTCGAGAGCGCCCACTGGCCTTCGGATGGATATTTACTGCTGATCACAGAACCGTGCTTCACTGAAAGATACGCATGACAATCGCAGCTTCTGCCTAATCGTGATTTATCGCCTTTGCGATTTAATTTAGATTAATTGTGCAGCCCTACCCAAAAGCAATTAGATCATCATTACAAATTCACAATCATATTTTAGTTCAGAGGCATAAATGTTTGCAGGTGTCCGTACGCACCTTTAACGCTGAGTTCAGCATAGTTTGAAACTCCAGATCCTCCATCAGAACGAATGACACAGCGGTAACGGCTGGTGCTGCGCTGTGACGTGTCCGTTACGCTAACGGTAGCGGAGAAGCGCCGATGGTTTACCACTCGGGTCACCATGAGAGACGTGTCTTTACCATTCCATTGCTGAAAAACAGAAAAATAATCATCCTTGCAACATCGTGTAACTGATTATATGCACACATGATTTTTTTTTTTCTTTGTTTTACAAAGTGGACCATAGTGCCACATCAAGACAGAGGCACAAGCTCTTAAAGCACACTGCGCACAATGAGAACTGGTGTTATGTCTTCATGTCTCAGAGCTGTAGCACAGGATAGATGGAGGCTTATAGTCTCCAGCCAAGGGAAAAAGTAATTTTATCCAAGACTTCATGGACACAGATGCTGGCTTAGAAATCCTGCTGACAAAAATCTCTAACAAGTTATTAAATTTCCTCAAGCAATGTATCTCAGGACAAAGGTTCAAAACCTCCCAATGCAAATGAAGTGAACGTTACACGCACACACATAATAGAGATGCTCAGAGATAAAAATAAAAATTTTGAGCATGTACACTAAAAAAAAGTGAAACGACTGTGTAATTTATTTAAAATATTATATTGAAAATCTTGGTTTCCGGTTTAAACCTGTTTTGTTCTGTTAATAAATCCCCAATAAAAAAAGCAAATAAAACTCTACTGATGTGTACATGACACAAAAATATGCTGCGTATTTCAGAAAACGTCACAAAAAATTTTAAGGTCTTTCAAACTTGTCTTTATTTTTTTTTAAAAATTTAAAAAGTGAAGTGACATGTCGCAACCCATACTCGGAATTAGTGATCTGCATTTATCCCATCCAAAGTATCCACACACCGTGAACACACACCCGGAGCAGTGGGCAGCCATTTTTGCTGTGGCGCCCGGGGAGCAGTTGGGGGTTCGGTGCCTTGCACCTCAGTCGTGGTATTGAAGGTGGGAGAGAGCACTGTACATTCACTCCCCCCACCTACAATCCCTGCCGGTACGAGACTTGAACTCGCAACCTTTGGGTTACAAGTCCGACTCTCTAACCATTAGGCCACAACTAAAAAAATCTATACTCATGTCATAGCTAATGTAGCTTTTGTTTATGGTGAAATTCAGTTGTAAAAATAAGACAGACAGACAGACCTTAAGTTACATTTTGGCTTATGTCTAAAGATAATACATGAATTCAGTATGGTATGGTCTTTATAATAAATAATCTTTGTACTATCTTTGTATGAATCTCTTTGACTTTGGGAAAAGAAACTAGGTTTGAACCAAACCATAAATATAATAAAAAACACAAACATTTTGCTGTAACATAATAAAGTTGGTCCCAAGTATAATTTTTTCAGTGCTATAATCAAACCAGGTTTGATTCGTCACTGAATGTTTCTATAGGTATTTTTTTATTTTTACTCTTTACTCTTGAGATTTAAGCAAGCGGGTCCTGGCCAAAACAGGCAGCACAAAATAAGAAATACCACACACAAAAAATAATGTTATTAAAAAAATATATGTTGCTGTCCCTTTATGTGAGATTATATGTGACTGCATAAAAGTATGTGTGTGTGTGAGGTTGTGTACAGACTCACCTGTAGCCAGAGTTTGTCATGTTGTGACCATTTGCCTCCAGCAATACACTGGAAGGTGGCATTCTGTCCCACGTTCACCTCGACATTCTGCAGCCGCAGAAAATGTGGTGTCTTGCCTACCAAACAAAACACATATACCTTCAAAAAAAAATCATAATACAGCATCCATGCAAATTATATAAAGCACATGTGCTCTATAGACACTGGTGGTCAACTATGCAGTGGCCCAAAAAAGCTTACAAGTTCACCCAAGTAACATTTGACGACAATAAAGTGTTTCAATTTTGACTGGTATATTGTTTTATGGCATTTTGTTTTATAATTTCAAACCTAACAAATATCTTTTTGTGAAATATTTACCTTATGAAGTGTACTTGTGTTAACATTTCTTACAAAATATCAAAGAAACTGTCTTTTATAGTATCTATTGACATGACATTCTAATTGTGTAAGTGCTCCTTTCACTTCTTGTATTGTGTGATGGTGAACATGGTTTCTGTCTGGTTTTCTGATTGTACGTTTAGAATCACCATCTGAAAACAAGAAATTTAATGGAGCTCACATTTGTATTCAATATTATTTCCAATAAACATTCTCTCATTTGCATGTACAGGTGCATAGAGGTTCACAGGTGCATTTGTGAGAAGCGTAACTCTTGCACTAGCTGAACTCTCGATTCTCAGTACAGCAGTCTCCACCCACTCTCTCTGCCAGCTTTATTATCTGTGCATGCATTTCTGCACAAAAGCAATATCAATCTTTTTCAGTTAAAGTCACTGAGAATATAGATTTATTTTTTAGTATCTCTGCTATAATGTGAAAAGCGTTCAGATTTAATGAAGGAATCTTAAAATTACCCACTATTATTATTATGGCAAGTAAAAAAAAAAAGAAAGTCAAGATAAGATGCTTCCATGATCTATAATTGTGTTCCTTCAACTCAGCTCTTATTACATTTTTATTGAAAATTCTGGTTATGTGGAATGGAATACTAGCTTACTGCATACGTTCAATATACACTATTTACTGTTTTGCAAACACTAAATGTAAAACTATGGCAGTTGTTGAGATGAATGACTTTTCTTTGAATAAAAGGGTCTGCTAAATGATTACATGTAAATGTAAATGGCACATGGCCACTTTACATTAGCTGTCAGTTATCATCTCTGGAAGTAAAAACTGTCAGTTTGCACTTTGCACATATGTCTAAAAACAAAACAAACAAAACAAACAATGTTGAACAGAAAAAAAATATTAGTGACACTGGAAATGGAAGGAATGTCATCTGAGTGTACACAGTAACTTAAAAAAAAAGGGTTACCGTGATTTGTCATTCAAAACCCACTTTACTTCTGTAATCAAACATGAGGGAAAAGGATTCTGAATGTGAATAAAATGCTTATGGCGTGCAATGATGAATCATGCACAATAAGACCAGGGGGTCATGTTCACTTCTACAATATGAATTAACCTCATTTCTTCATCGGCACTGCTGGCTTTACATTAGTTTCACAGAGAGATCTAGGACAATGGAAGTCAAAGGCTAAAGTTCTCCTGTCACAGCAAGAATGATGGGGGCCTAAAGTCTGAGCACTCAGCTCTGCAATCTGTCTCCCTCTATCTCTCATCCTCAGCACAGAGCTGCTTGTTTGCTGGCCTTTTCCATCTCTGTTCAACCCTCGATCCACATGAAGTGCTTTTCACAGTAGTTGACAGACTGAACTCCTACAGCGTAGCCAAGACTGTGAAAGTAAGCAGGCGCTGTGTGTGTGTATGTATGTGTGTACTCACGGCAAGGGTGGGCCAAAACGTGTATCTCATCCACTGCGATGAACCCAGGATGCCCTTGTACAGACACAGCCTCAAAAATAACCTAAACGAGAGAAGAGGGGAGAGGAAATCAAGTGTTTAAATCAAGTCTGCTTGTTTCAGACTGAACTGAGACGGTCTATTTATATATGTCAACAGAAGAGATCTTTAACTGTAAAACCACCTATGTTAGCCCCAAATCGTATTCAAGCTCTTGCGGCACACTTAAAAAAATATTTGAATGTCCATGCATCTTGCATTTATTTTATAGAAAGACAGCACAAGAAAACTTTTCAAGCCATAATAATCTGATAATCTGCATTTAAACTCTGCAAACACAAGTTCGAACACACACATATGGGACTGGCATGGTTTGCATGGCATACTGTACATGCCATGTGGTGAGGACATGTGTGGTCTGAACAATGCCCTCTCTCTCAGAGCTGCCAAGGACTGGCACTAGAAAGCCAAAACCTGGACACAGGATGCACTTGAGTCCACAGCTTCCCAAAAAGGCCTCACTGTGACCAGTCAAGAGACTCAATCTACTCGACCAGATTCAATTCTCACCATGTTATTCAGGGTGAGACTGTGGAGACTAAAGGTGTGTGTTTCAGATCAGAAATGTTGTGGAAACTGCTTTCAGTTGCTTAAGCTTTATGTTGTTGTTTAGATCAGTTCTCAATTCTCAATCCTAGAAAAGAGCAGTGTGAATATCCTGCCACACAGGTTTGGAACAACATGAGTTTGAGGAAATAATGACAGTATTTTCAATGAGCAAACCTTTTACATCGTCATTTTATCATCTTTGCCCCTACTCAAGGACATTGCTGTATTCATAATTTATTCACAACATTATAGCTGACACAAATGATCTCTAAAACTGTCAGGACATGGGGAAAAGAACAGCTTTTTAAAAATGTACCATCCCAAATTTAAAAAGAGTCAGATTTGCCTCTTTTTCCTTTTGCATATCATAAAACTTTACCCTTTAAACACTGTCACTTTGAAAGTGGCACCCTACTATTTAAAATGTATCATGGCAGGAAACAAGTCAGTTAACCCAAAGAATAGTCTTGTCAAAATTGGCCACTTATCTGCAAATCCGTTGCTCTAATCAAACTCACAGTGGGATATTTTTCAGTATAGTTTATGATCCCATAGGCAGATTTTCTAGTAGAAATTAGTTTTTGATATTTAACAGGTAATTGATTACGTTCAACTCAGCAAGAGAAGCAAATGCTTTTAAAAACTTGAAATGGCATTCTGTGAGCACAAACTGGGAACAAGCACCTAGAGAGTGTGATTCTCAATTTTTATCAAGAATATGTCAGTCTTAATTCAAAATCAAAATAAACCCACAAAAAAAGAAATATAAAATATAATTTTAATATTTGAATATAAGTAATACTATACAATAAAAACAATTTCTTAAATTTTAAAAGGAATTGCAATCTAAATGAAATCTAAATTATAATATTTATAATTTATATTATGCAATAAATACCAATAATATTAATAATTAATACATTTATATTATTATACACTGTTTGGTTATATACACATGCACATTATTTTATGACATTCCCCACAAGCACAAATACACACACACACGCGCACATACGTACGCAAAAGCTTTGATATTGCCTGCTGGTCAAATAGATGCCCTCAGCAAATATTGCCTTTAGCAAATATCGGTCTGCTGTTTGCAAAGAGAAGTTCAGTATTGCCAGCACAGGCTAAATATTTGCTCTTCTCATTAGTTAATTCAATTACATGGCTAATCTTATGAGGGTATTTCACTCCACAGATTGACCGGTGAATCTACAGAGAGAATGAAGAGGAGCACAAGAGGCAGAGAGAGATAGAGAGGAGATCTGGGTGTGAAGAATCTGAAGAGAAAAAGAAGGAGTGAGTGAAAGTGAGAGGTAATAAGCAAAAAGACTGATCTAAAATTAACAGCTAAAAGCTTATTCACCAGGGCCATTTGTGGGTGAGATTAGGGGACAGTGATTGCAGTGGTAATTGGAGTAGAGAGCAATCCACTGCCCCTCTCTGCAGTTCAATTGGTGCCATTCACCACAAATATATGGCAGAAAATAAACTACTGTCAATTTCTGTTGCTAAGGGGACAAAATTTTCATGACTTCTTTTAGGTGCTGGTCGTTTGTTTGCTACGTGGCTCATCCTGCTAAAAAAAAAAGAAGTTAATTGATCATGGTTGTCATCATTTTCTCCATAGACTTCATGCAGTAGACTTCAGTACTGCATCCTTCATATCTCCAAAAAGTCTTTAGTTTTATCATATTTATAAAAGAAAGATACAGCTTTACGATTCTCTCCGGAAAAAGCCGAACTCCTGGAGGCGCAGTGGGCGGAGCTAAAGAGTGACGAGCACTTGGGCGCCGAGTGCCAACAAAACAGACATTTGATGCCGTTTCACTTACCGTCTGCAGTTCTGAATCATGATGGGGTCTTTTGGCGCTTTTCCACTGTGTGGAACGACTCGGCTCAGCACGGCACGGCTCGGTTTGCATTTCCACTGCAGTTAAGTATCACTTTAGAGTGGGCAGGATTATTCACATGTCGTTAGTTACGCCGCCTCTACTGCCGCGACTCCTGAAAAACGTTTTCATTCCGTGTCGCCCCATCAAGCTCTCGCTGGATCCGCTCCTCTGCTATCAATGAGAAGAACGTCTGTACTTCCTCAACAGACAACGAAACAGCCAATTTTTGGTTGTTAAAAAAGGTGCGCTCATTCAAAACAGTTGCATTCGATCCTTTGCTGGCTGTGCTGATTTAAATCTAGCGGTTCTGTTGTGTTTGTGTTGCAAGTTCAGTGACGCAGGTAGTGACGATTCTCTCCGGCCAATCCGTGATCAGCAGAGTTTACATGTCAAGTTTTGGTAACGGTATGGGTCACTTGGAACCTCAACCGATGTGCTACTAAAAAAAGTACCAGGTACTGTACCCAGTGGAAAATCCCCCAAAAGTGAACCGTACTGAGCCGTACCGTACCATGCAGTGGAAAAGCGCCATTTTATAGCTGGGACCGCTCCATCTTTCAGTATCAAACGATGTGCAAATCCAGCGTTGAACTGGGCCTTGTTTATAAAACGTTCGTCAACAAACAAACGTTTGAAGAGCGTTAATGGGCGCGATCTCGCTCTTGCTCTGGTCGATGCGTGCGCAGGCGCGTTCTTCCGGGAGAAATGCCCATATAAGGAGTTCCACCCTCGTTTACGTCATTAAGAGCCACGATCGGAAAAAAACTCTCAGAAACTTGTACGAACCCGGAAGTAAGATTTTTGGCACAGAAATACTGTCATACGTCCAAATTGTTTTTTGAAACTTTGTCCATGCTTAGCATGAGAATTCAACTCTTTAACAGTGTAAACAACTCTGAATGCATGAAACAGCATTGTCCCCCCCCCCCCCCTCTTAAACCAGAATATTCTGAATTTGAATTTTTTTTTAAACACAGCATGCAGATTCTCTTAATTGAAACCCATTTGGCATTTGACTTTGGCATTGTTAGCATCAAGCTTACCTGATAGGAGTTGGGCCAAAAGGTGCTGATGGCGAGTTCAGCCTTCACCCAGCCTTCAGTGACGGGTGCTGAGGCATTCCAGATGGGATTCCCCTGTGGTCCACCATCCACTTTTATGTAGACATTAAGGGTTCCGGGACTCGTCCCATCCCGGCTAGACAGGGAGTAGTGGAAGTCTATGCAGTGGGTGTCATTCTCTTTTAGCGTGGGCAGGAGCAGGTGGGCCTTCTGACCTGATGCACGACCCGAAGCATTCACCATCATGAAGGAACCTAGAAGAGGAAAACATCACTTTTACTTGAGCTCTTGATATATAAAAGGTCATGATACAAAAAGAATATCCTGAAAGTTTCAGAACTGAAAACGTCCTTGTTACTGAAATAAAAGCTTTTATTGACACCAGGCCCAGTGAAAGCCAGATCCTGGAATGTGCCTATCTGTAATAGATAGGTTAAACACAGAAGAACATCAACGCCTAATTCTGTAGCCCCACCCACGGATTCGCACATGACAGTTGGGAAATAACATAAGTGGCGCTAAACCGGATTGAGCAACCAAGCAATAAACATGCTGTTGAAGATCGCAGAATATTGTGCAGTGGCTGGTTGTGGAAGATCACAGTCGCTGCATAACCTTCCTTCAAATTCAAATATTAGGAATGCGTGGTTGAACTTTATTTTTAATGACGTTTCAGCTCACGCGAGTAAAACATTGAGCTTGTGTTCGCTTCATTTCACCGCGGATTCCTTTGTAAACAAGACACAGGTCGACGCTGGATTTGCAGAGAGACTGAGATTAAAAAGCAATGCTGTGCTGTCTATATTGGATCTGACAGGAATGGTGCAGCACACTTATGTGAGTAAAACTATTTGTACTATGTGTCACTACTGCTTTGTTAGAGATCGCTTGATATGTCCGTATTATGTGTGTCGCTAACCAAAGTCACAGAAGGCTCCAACTATGAAGGACGTAACTTGTCAAACAGACACACAAAAAGTTAGTTTACTATGCAAAACTGTTATCCAATCATAGCAGTAGGCGTTTACTTCCAAGTCTTCAATGCGGCACACCCATAAAAACCCAGCGTTTCTCGAGCCAGCAATGAATAGAATAGAATAGAATAGAATAGAATAGTTCACCACATTCAGCTGGAAATTTAGCAGCTACAACAAAGCAACAAGTAAACAAGTGTTATTTGATTCTTAGGGCAAATCTTTTAAAGAATAATTCAAAAAGACGCTTATTGAACAGAATGTTTTGATGTTCGGTATCTTACTATTCTTTTCCCACAGTAAAGGTTACATTGTCATTTTGCACATCATGTTCATGCTCTTTTGTGCCTTTGTAAGCAGAAAACATCACATAACTGAGTAACTGGGTAACTGCCTGCTATAAAACCACACTGAAACTGTAAGTGCTGAGGCACTATTTATGAAATGATTTGGTGGACAGCTTTACATCCATTTTAATCCAGGTTTATGAGACAATATGCAATCTTACAGCCTTATGAGTAGTTTTGTACAAGTCACTACCAACAATGTCACTGCATTAGAAAGAGGGCTTCAGAGAAAACAAAAATCATGATTTACTTGGAAAAAAATGACAATTATTTGCCACCTTCAGGGAAAAGCATTTAGTTCCCCTTCAGGAACTCGAGCTGCGTCGAGGTCGCTTTGGGAACGCCTCTGCGTGACCGCGTTCTGAAGCACATGTCAAATCAGCCCAGTGGAGTAGCGAGACGTCATTAGCGGGGTGACGTAAGCACCAGAAAGTATAAAAGCGCATCCGGCAGACGCAAACCAGCATCTGCTCTTCAGTAGCGCTCTTTGTATGTGTCTGTCTATTTACTGTTGTCTGTCCGCACAAGCATATATAGAAAACAATCATGAAAAAGTCTATGGTGAGCGAATGGCATTACAAACGCTGTGTTCCTCCCTGTCCACGATATCTGGCGGCGGGGGATACACACAATTTGTCATTTGTTTGGGACCGGAGCATGCACGGTCAGCTTTTGAGGAGCTGATTGTCATCACTGCGAGTTACTCTCGCTGCGTATGCTCCGCTTTCGCCTGCCTGTGTTTGATGAGAGCGGCCAGGCTCGCGATTGCCTCCACGGAGGTTCATTGATACCCCTGCCCCCTTGGTGCTTCAGGGCTCAGTGAGCTCCGACGAGTGAAATTCCCAGCTGCCGCCTGGCAACATTACGGCACGGGAGAGCTCGACCCCTCAAGTGCGGGTGCTACAGCAGTCAGGTCGGTCGTTCCCTGCCGGTCATCCGCTTCAGGGCACCGAACTGGCTCCTCTAATAATACCAGAGGCCAGCCTCAAGCAGCTGGTTCCCTTAGTAGATTTTCTGGTAGCGTGGAAACTTCTACCAAATATCTCAAAATGGGTCCTGCAGATTGCAGGGTAAGGTTACAGAATCCAGTTCGGTTCTCGTCCGCCTCGTTTCAACTAGGTCATCCCCACACTAGTGGGCCCCAAGCAGGCTCTGGTAATGGAACAAGAAGTAGATACTCTCTTGAGGAAGGGGGCCATAGAACGTGTTCCGCCTCTCTCGAGAGTGTCCGGGTTCTACAGCTGTTACTTCATCGCTCCGAAGAAGGATGGGGGGTTGCGTCCGATCTTAGATCTCCATCTTCTGAACCGCGCTATCAAACGGCTTCGGTTCAAGATGCTCACTATCAAGCAGATAGTATCTCAAATCCAGTCCGAGGACTGGTTTGTTAAGATAGATCTCAAAGACACTTATTTCCATGTATCCATCCTCCCTCAACACTGGAAGTTCCTAAGGTTTGCTTTCGGGGGCGAAGCATACCAATATCGAGTTCTTCCCTTCGGCCTGTCACTCTCACCCCGCACTTTCACGAAGTGTGTGGATGATGCTCTGGCTCCTCTGCGACTCCAGGGCATCCGCATACTCAATCACATCGACGATTGGTTAATACTAGCTCAATCGGAGCAGATGGCGGCTCGGCATCGAGATGTCGTCCTCGCCCATATGAGAGAGCTGGGGTTAAGACTAAACGCCAAGAAGAGTGTTCTTTCTCCACTACAGAGAACCACTTATTCTCGAGCACTTGCAACTCAACCTCGATGCAGTCACATCTGTCTCCTGCTCGAATCGAGTCAATCCTCACTACAGTCACGAGGCAGCAGGGGGGTCTGCGTTCGCGCCCCTTGTACAAGCTTGCACGCCAGATCCTTCTGTGGGCTCAGGGGAAGCTTCTCTCTCTAAAAGCAGTTTACATCCCTGGGTATCTAAATCAGGGGGCAGATATCCTGTCGAGACAGGGGCTGAGGCCCGGGGGATGGAGGCTCCACCCCGAGGTGGTGGAGCTCATTTGGAGGGAATTTGGCCAGGCGGAAGTGGATCTATTTGCGTCGCAATAAACGACAGACTGTCCGCTCTGGTTCTCCCTCACGCATCCAGCTCCAATGGGGCTGGATGCCATGGTGCAGACGTGGCTGAGGCTACGTCTGTACACTTTTCCCCCGATCGCTCTGCTCCCGGGAGTTCTG